TGCTATGTGTCTAAGAGTTTGCCGGTGGTGTGTGTGCACCGTGTGCTGTGTGTCTAAGAGTTTGCCGGTGGTGTGTGTGCACCGTGTGCTGTGTGTCTAAAAGTTTGCCGGTGGTGTGTGTGCACCGTGTGCTGTGTGTCTAAGAGTTTGCCGGTGGTGTGTGTGCACCGTGTGCTATGTGTTTAAGAGTTTGCCGGTGGTGTGTGTGCACCGTGTGCTATGTGTTTAAGAGTTTGCCGGTGGTGTGTGTGCACCGTGTGCTATGTGTTTAAGAGTTTGCCGGTGGTGTGTGTGCACCGTGTGCTATGTGTCTAAAGTTTGCCAGTGATGTATGTGTACCGTGTTCCAGGAACTGGAGCTACAGACAGCTGTGAGCCGCCATCTTGGTCTTGGGAATTAAACCTGGGTCCTCTGGAAGAACAACCAGTGCTCTTAACCACTGAGCCATCATTTCAGTCCCCAGAGCCAAAATTTTATGAATGTTTTTGGACAAGAGAACAAAAGTACGTAGGTTTTGAGTGCCCATCTCCCCACTGTAGGTTACCCTTCAGTTTCCATATTCAGCTAAGCTCATAACAAAGACGACTTACCAGACACACCATATAGTTTTATATTCTGGTTGCTTCTGTAAGACACAGGTCCCTTCCCCTCCACCCCCACCGCCACTCCTGCCCCATGCAATTAAAACTTCTCAATAAGGATTATTTGACACAGGGTCTCATTATATGGCCCAGGCCACCCTGAAACTCAGATCCACCTGCCTCAGCCTCCCACAGTGCTAGGATTAAAGGGGTGTTCTACCATACCAAGCTTTCACAAGTGTTTTTGTTGGTCTCACTGTATAGCTCAGGCTTGTTAGGAATAAACAACCTTCTGCCTCACTCTCCTCCCAAGTGTTGGACTGCAAGCATGGACTCCACACCCGGTTCACTGGGTAACATCTAGTACATCTGTGACTCTTCTCAGGACACTGGGTGTTTCCTGTTGTCAGCACTGTTGTATTGCTTGCTTATCTGTGGGTCAGACTCTCTGTGCAAATGTTTGGTTTTTTACATTTTCTTACTTGTGAAGCATGTGAGGTCAGAGGTCAACTTACAGGAGTCAGTTTCCTTCTTCCAAAGATCAAACTCTGTCAGGCTTGGTGACAAGTACCTTTACACACTGGGTCACCCTGCCAGCCTCTTTCTGTGCACACTTTAGATGATTTTCTTAGAATGGGTTCCTGGATGGCAGGCTGCCCCAGGGTATGTGTGTAGCATTAGTGAATACCTAGTAAATAACCAATACATAACTGGTCTTCTCTTTACTGATCTAACAGAAAAGACTATCATTGCTGTTTTCATTTTCTGAAGATTACAAAGACCACTCCTGCCAGAATAATTCTGTTCCTGTACAGCTTAGAGTACTCCCCAAGAATTCATTAATTCCTGTTTTAAAAGAACATCTTTGACACGTTTGTAATTGTAGTGGGAGGTCAACTTACTAAGAAGCTGATGAGTAAGTTTCTGTGACAGCTGCCTGTCATCACTGAAGCCTCCCACAAGATGTACTTCCAGCCTGCCAAGAGAGGTGCAATGGTGAGAGCACAGAGCAGACACGACTGAGTGCTGGTTTAAGATGGTACTTAAGATGGTTAGTGGCTCCATGAACATCCACAGCATGCTTCTGTGTCTCCCACAACATAGGATGAAAATGCTTGTGGCACAGTAGGGTGCCATGTGAGGTTGCCAAGGCTATCACCCAGGGTCCTCAGTGCGGTGTCACCCAGCCACCCACGTGGAACACTCTAGAACTTCGCAATACCTCCACCAAAGAGCATCTGGGTTGTGACCACCATGGCTTTGCTTCCGCTCCTGCCAGGCTGGCCTTGATATCCACAATACCTAAACACTGTCTGAAAGTACACCAGGAAAAGCTAACAGTTATGTTCTACGAACCCTTCCAAAGCAAAAGGAAAAGACTATTTTACAACCACACAAGTCAAAAGCCTGTGAAGCTTACCAGCCTGTGACACAGACCCAGCCACAAGATTTGAGTTTTAAAAAGAAATCAGTGCCTACACACTCTTAGCATATCAAGGCCCAACATCCAATTTCTAGCATATACATACATATACAAAGTTTAAACTTGGTTTATTTTTTAAGAAAAGGCTAGCTTCAAACTAAGACATCCTCCTGCCTCTGCCTCCCAATACTGGAATTAAAGGTGTGCTACCATACCTTCTCCCAATTTTTTTAACTTACTTATTGCGCTATAAAGCTGACCAATAGTGTCCCCAAGAACTTAAGTACCTGTGTCTGGCTGTACTAGTTCCTTCAAAGACTACCAAGAAAATAAGAGCCAAGTATAACAACAGAACAAGTGGACCAGTTATGTGAGCAAGTGAAAGCCAGGCCTGGGTTACAGGCCAGAGCTTAACAAGCTATGTGGCTTTGGTACATGACCACATGTCACAGGGTAAGGATGAAATGCAGAGGCACAGTTAGTCAGGGCTGGTTCTTACCCTATATCCATGCTCAGATTGTTGGCCTGCTGAGGTGTGTAGCGTGAGGTGAGCACTGTCACACTCAGCTGACCCTGCTGCCTTCTTCAGTCCTTCCTACCCATTTACTCACCTGCCTGCCTTAGAGTATGAGCACTGAGCTACACTCAACAGGAAGTTCTTGGCCCCTAGAACAAGTGGCTCCCACAGAAATACCTCCTGAGATGCAAAGATCCCAACATTACACAAATTCAAAGCCAAACTAAGTTTAAAATTGAACACAGAAGCCTGACATGTAATGGCAGCACTAAGGAAAGCAGGGAGAGAGCATCATGAGTTCAAGGTCAGCCTACATAGCCCTGTCCAACAAAAAGTCCAGTACTGGCTGTCCCTCCTGTCTAGCCATCTACCCACCCATGCATCTATCCACCCACCCGTCCATCCATCTACCCGTCCATCCATCTACCCATGCATCCATCCATCCATCCACCTACCCATCCATTCACCCACCCATCCACCTACCCATCCATCCACCCACCCACCCATCCAGTCAGTATAAACACCAACCATGCTCGAGGTGTGCAAGCACAGGTTATCCCCCACAGTGTCCGTACAGCAACAGCATGGCACTTACCTTCCACACTCAGCATGTTCAGAGAAGGATTTTATGGAGCTCATTATCAAGGGGACTTCAGCTTTGGTGTCAGATCCATCACAATGTGTCAGGCAGGTTGCCCCATTACCTGGAAAGCAAGGGTAAAGGAGTTATTCTTTATATTTTGGCAAGTGAGACATGTTGACCACCTCATCTTTAGGCACCCTGTAAGAAAACTGGAAGACTCCATGCTTCCCAGCCAACCCATCTGATCAGGGCACCAAGGAGACACTATGCAGACAAGATATGGCTTCAAAGTTCACTAGGAAATTCAAACTGAGAAAGTCAGTGGTCCCATGTGGTTGGGATGGGTTAACACACAGTCTTCTTCACCTCTCTTAGCATACCTGTATGTCTCAGGACTACAATGTGACAAGTGGTAGCATCATCAGAACCCAGAATGGAGATGGAGCCTGTTTAAAAAAGAAATAACATGAAACACCCAGTAGCTTTGGGATACGGCCCAATGCACTGCTTCCTAACCTACCATCCTTTGGGGAAGTCACTGCAAGCTCTCTTTGCTGAACATACAGAAGGCCCTGGGGTCCCACTTGTTGAACAGACTGACCTCTGAGAAGTCTGGCTCTTTCCTGTTTAATTGAAACAGAATAAAATAGTGGTGTGAATTAGTGAGGCTTGAAGTCCTAGAGAGGGGAGAGAGCCAGTGTGTACTCAGAAGCCACATATCTGAACTGTGCTGGACTGGCAACAGAAAGAAAGGCAGCAGCAACACTTACTCTGACTAAACAACATGTGACACAGATCCCAGTGCCCAAGAGAGAGGGGCCAATCCTTCATCAGAGTTCAAGAGTCTGAGACTTAACCTTATTTTTTGTCTCTGTTTTGTCCCCTGCCCCGTCTCTGTTTGTCTCTCTATCTCTGTGTCTCTGTCTCTCTCTGTGTCTGTCTCCCCCCGACCCCCTCAGTTCTGGCTGTCCTTACCCTGTCCATCCTTCTACCTCATGAGTGCTGGGATTATAGGTTTGCAACACCATTTTACAAGTGTAAGAAAATCAAGGCAGGAGTGGTGGTTCATGCTTATAATCCCAGCACAGGAAATCACAAAACAGTCAGACTGAAGCAAGCTTAAAGGCAAAAGTGGCAGGGCATGGTAGGAAACACCTGTAATCCCAGCACTCAGGAGGCAGAGGCCAGCCTGGGCACATACTCACATGTGGGAGAGGTGACACACTACTAAAATGAATTCCACCTTCCAACTTGAGATAAGCAAGCCTCGCCGTGTGTCAGCGTCCTACACCTGCTGCAGTTCTGCATCCGTCTATACCATCTCCCTATACCATTTCTCATGCCCGGTGCTCCTGCAAGCTTGTGTCTGATGACTTAATAAAATCCAACAAACCTGATAAACCTAATGATCAATTGAACTAAGGAAGCACTGTCTGTCTTCTTCTAATGAGTTCCCATTTTTCAGACGCTAGGATGTGAGAACTTCTGGGCTCAGAAGTCAGTCACCATCAAGGTTAGGGTGGGGCACAGGAAAGCAAAAGACACAGCAAACTAAACCACAGAACCTCCAACTGGTGAGGCAGCTAGGTTACTGGACAAGCCAGGGTAAACTTGGCTGTCTCATATTTCATCACACCCCAGCCCAGTGACACACCAGACACGAGTTCCCACTTCCCAGTTCCTGTCCTCATCTCCTTTGGGGAGGAGTTAACATGGCAGATCTTACCACTCATGTTCACAACTGGCTCACCACCAGTGAGTAAAGTGGTGTGAGAACAATTTACCATTTCAAGACAAACACAAGAAAGGAAAGCAAAGGCGGCCAAACATGGCCATGCCACAGAACAGCTAGCATGGTCTCTTCCCACTTGATAAAAGCTGTTTCTGAATGAAGCCTCACTTCAGCACACTAGTGTGCATGAGAGAAAGGGAGAAATGCAGGTGTGAGGTAGACATGCATGGGAGGTATACAAGTGTGAGAGGTGTGCATGTGTGAGAGGTGTGCATGAGTGAGCGGTGTGCATGAGTGAGCGGTGTGCATGAGTGAGAGGTGTGCATGTGTGAGAGGTGTGCATGAGTGAGAGGTGTGCATGTGTGAGAAGTGCACACATCTGAGGTGTACATGTGTGCACTGCTGGAAGCCAAGTCAATATCATATGCCTTCCTCTATTATTCTGTTCCTTATTTCTGTTTCGTGTGTGCATGCACATACACACATGTGGCATGTGCCAGACACTAGGCCTGAACGTTGAGGCCAGAGGGCAACCCTTAGGTATTAGCTTTCTGCTCCAGCATGTATGTTTCAGACACCAAATATGGTCATCGGGCTTGGCAGCGAGCCCATGTGAGCCATCCTGACAGCCTGCCTTGGTGTTTTGAGACAGAATCTCTCAGTGAGCCTGAGTCTCACTGTTTTGGCTAGACTGGCTGGTTACCCAGCACCTGGATCCAGTGTCCCACTCCTCAGCGCTGGGATTACATAAGCTCTGTGAAGTCTTTTATGTGGGTGCTGGGATCCAAACTCAGATCCCTGTGCTTGCAGGTCATCCACTGAGCCAAGATCCCTGTCCATACCTCCTAAAGTAGTTATGGCCCACTTGCCACAGTGTCTCCTATTTCTTGGTATTTGATCATGTGCACTCTAGTGTCTCTCAGTCCTTTCCTTTCCAATGGCCCATCAAATGGTACTGCTCTTTTTATGGAGGTCAGCAAATATTTCTGTCAGAATGTCTAGACGGCAAGCCTGAAGGTCTTTGTGGTTATACAGTGAAGCAGCCAGAGCAATGGATGTGGTTGTGTTCTAATAAAATGTGACATGGGACATGCATGTTTGAATTCATATAATTTACTGTTATAAAATATTCTTTTCACTTCTTTTGGGGGTGTATCTTAGCAGTAGGCATTTGTCTAGCATGTGTGAGGCCAGGAGGGAAGGAAAGTCCGTCTGCAACTCTGGAGACCAGCCCACACCCCTTACTCTTCTGCCATGTGACACATGAATGTGAAAGTACCTGCTCCACCTTGAAACGTGGCTGTGTGCGGCTTAGTGGCAGGGGTGTGGAGTGGGAGGTCCTGGGCTTCTACCCAGCACAGCACAGAAGACTCTTTAAAAAACATAGACGCCAACACACAGTGTGTCAGCGTGCCACGCGTGACTGCCAAGCCCCCCCTGCCTGTCTACCCTGGAACACACTGTGTAATCTCCAAACGGCCTGCCTCAGCATCTGACTGCTAGTGCTTCCGGGGGTCTCTCCACAAGTGCTCAGTTACATTTTTGTGTTAACAGCTCCACATGGCAAGTGGCTACTGTACTGAATTACACAACCTCCAAAGTGAAGGGCAGACAGCAGGGTTCCAATCCTGACTTCTTTCTAAGCATGGGGCTTGGGAATCATGCTGTGTCTTCGTCACTGTTCTCCTGCTGTGAAGAAAAACCATGCCAAAGGCAACTCTTATTTAAAAGGAGAAAAAAAAAAGCATTTAATTTGGGACCTTATCGAGAAGCACACAGGCATGCCGATAAGAGCAACAGCTGAAAGTTTTGAAGGCAGAGAGACACTGGGTCTGGCATGGGCTTGTGAAACCTCCAAACCCACCCCCAGTGATGTGCCTTCTCTAAGGCCACACCTCCTATTCATTCCCAAATAGTTTTACTAACTAGAGACCCCACCACACTGTGTGTCTGGTCCTCACAGCCCTCGGTCTAGTCAGTAAGAGTAAAGACACTCTCACTGGGCACAGCATGGGGCCTTCTACTGTGGCTGAGCAATGGGTGCCTAAAACCAGACAGCAGTAAAGCCAGACATGCTGGGGAAGGGGGTTAACAAGCGGCTATGAGGAAAGGGGTTTCAAACTCATAGGCAGCATGATGGTGCATGCCCGCTGAGGCTTCGAAGGTCATGAGTTACTAGTCATCTACAGTGATACCTCTCACAAAAGAAGGGTGGGAGGGGAAACACACAGGACAGTTAAGTGTTCTGGAATTTTCCATCTAAAATGTTCATTGTTGCCCAAGGAAGTGTAATGGCAAGAGAGGGGAAGGGGGATACTAATCAGGTTTATGACTTGCTGGGGCTGTGTACTCAGATACTGCTCTGTGAAAGACATACAGGAAGCCAGGCATGGTGGTGCAAGCCTTTAATCCTAAAATTTGGGAGCCAGAGGTAGGCATATTGTCCAGGCATGTTCCAGGACAGTCAGGGATACAAAGAGAAACCCTGTCTCACACCACCACCACCCAGAAAGAAAGAGGGAAAGGGTGGGGCGAAATACAGGGCAGGGCACATGGGAATGGGCCAGGCATGGTAGTTCATAGTTCACCTCTGCAATCCTAGCACTTACACAGCTGAGACACAGGTGTGGAAAGCCAGCCTGAGCTAGACAATGAAAGTATCAGGAAAAAAAAAAAAAAACAAGACAATATTGCCTATCATATAAATAAAGTACGGGAGGCAGAGGCAAGCAGATCGTGTGGACGTTGCTGGCTCCGGGAGTCTTGTCCCCAGGAGTTTGAGGCCAGCCTGGTCTACAGAGCAAGTTCAGGACAGCCAAGGCTACACAGAGAAACCCTGTCTCAAAAACAAAATTAAACCAAAACTATGAGAAGAATCTACTTCCCTCTACAAAGCCCTAAGGAAAGTGAGCCTTTCCCTCAGCACTGGGCATGAAGTCCACACTCCAGCTGCTGCCCTGGTCTTTGCCTGCAGCAACCCCCCCTCCCCCGGCCCTCACTGGGGGCCTCCCTGCCCCTCCCCCGTTCCCTGCTCTTGAAAGCCAACTGTCCACTCTGCATCCCTCCTGGCTGTGTGTCCCTAAATAAACCACCACCCCACATCACCTGTCTCTGCCTTCTCATGGAATGTGCTACATGGCCACTAAAGTACAGGTTTCAGACGTAGGAGAGAACCCCCTAAGTCGTTGATGTGGCTGAAACTTTTCTTGTATTATTTCTGGCTTCATGAACACAGCGTAGAGTGCCTAGTCCGACTGCAGGAGCCACTAGTACGATCAGTCTGTCTTGAAATTCCAGTTGACAGTCACAGTCTCCCTGTCCCAGAGTTCTCAGGGGTCATTCTGCCCATTCATTTACCCAACAAATATTTGGTTAGCACAATGCCATCTGCTTTCAGGAAGCGTTTGCTCCAGGAAGTAGATCCAGGGGGGACAAAGCAAGTAAGCAGACAGAACTACAAACCCACAGCGACTCAGAGGAAACTTCTGGAATGCTTTCCGTAATCCCAGGTTCTCAGAGAGAACGTGGGCATCTTTCCTTCAAGGGTATGACTGATCAGGAAACAGGTCCCCTCCTAACTGTTCTATGTGAGATCGATGGACCGGCTGAGTTCAAACTAGCATGTGGAACACTCGGTCACCACTGCTTCACTAGGAGCCCTCTTTCAGAAGTCCCCACAGGGAAAGAACAAGACGCCCGGAGCTAGCAACTTCCACACAAAGTCCGCATTTCTGGCTAAAAAATAATCCACCCCCCCCACGCCCTGAGGGGCAAGAATGAGCGTGCAAAGGACTGGGGCCCACACCTGTCTGCATCTGGGAAATGCGGGGAGCCGCACGACCACCCCGACCTGTAGAGCCCGCCTACTGCAGATGGGGGCCCTGTGTCTTCGCGCTACGTACATGCTGTGCGACCTTCCATAAGTCACCTAACCTCTCTGGGCCCCGTCTCAGCAGGTCACTAGTGGCCGGGCTGCGGAGATCCCACCCGCCCTGCAGGCCTGAGTGGGCCACTCACCTCCAGAAGCGGGTGCGCTCGGACCAGCTCCGCAGCGGACCGTGGCAGACGGACGCGCTGCCCGTCCACCAGCAGCGGCATTGCCTAGGCCGCCGCCAGGCCGAGGTAGGCGGCCACCGCCCCGCCCCGCCCCGCCCCGTCCCATGCCCCGTCCCATGCCCCGCCCGCCGCGGGCGCCACGCTCACCGCGCAGTCTGCCGGGATATGTAGTCCAGACGGACGTGGAGCAGCCCGAAGGGGTAGAGGAAATGAAATACCCGTTGGACTGCAAGGCATCACGGGAGATGTAATCCAACCTTGGTGCGGGGCTACTCATTACCACGTCCGTCGTGGCGGGTGCCCGCAGCTGTAGTCGTAGAGACGTGGGCATTAGGGACGCGAAGGAGAACCGCGAGGGTAGCGCCGCGCTCTGCGTCACCCAGCCCTGACCCCTGCCTCGGGCCGAATTGATCCGCCAAAGTGTAATCAATTAACTAACGACCGTTCCAGCTGGCAGACATGGTGCAGGCGGCGTGAGCTGCGACCCCAGCTGCCACCGCGGGGGCCTGGGAGCGGAAGAAATAGGGCCGCCCTGCCCTGGCGGGAGGACCAGAGACCCCACCTCCGCGTTTCCTCCTGGCTCCTCACCGCTCTTGCCAGACGTGGCTGCTGTGAACCGCTCACTTGTTATCACTCTTGCTAAGTCGCCAAAGTCACTTACCTTTAACCGATTGGTCCAAATTTAAACCCTGTTTTCTGTGACTCCAAGCCAAGGCTATCGCCCTAACATGTTCTCAGACAGAGCTGTAAATAACACACTTAAAACAAGCTTTGGCGAAGACAGAATTATGATCTTGCCATGACAGAATTATGACCTCAGCCTCCATTTCCAGCATAAAATATAATTACATAGCATTTACAAACGTAACTGACCGCCGGGGCAGTGGTGGCGCACACCTTTAATCCCAGCACTTGGGAGGCAGAGGCAGGCGGATTTCTGAGTTCGAGGCCAGCCTGGTCTACAGAGTGAGTTCCAGGACAGCCAGGGCTACACAGAGAAACCCTGTCTCGAAAAAAAAAAACAAAAAACAAAAAACAAAACAACAACAACAAAAAGTAACTGACCACCAGAGAGAGGTAGAGGAAGTTTCAAAACAGGGATGTTTTTTATTGAACTTGGGGATTCACAACCTGTTCTCCAAGTCTAGTCCACCTGTCTTCAATAAGTCAACTGACTAAAGAGCCTAGTTAAAAAATGAAAAACCGAAAAGGGAGATTTATTCGAAAGGGGAGATTTTTCCGTATGGCCAAATTGGTAAGAGGGACAAAGAGGCCCAGGAAAGCATTCAACTCTGTCTTCATGAGGTCCAAGTTTAGAGGGCAAAAGGATATGCACACTGACCCATGTGGGAGCTAGGCCAACCCACGTCTTGTTAAGTAAGAGTCCTAGATGAAAAGACAGAGAGGTCGGGCAGTGGTGGCACACGCCTTTAATCCCAGCACTTGGGAGGTAGAGGCAGGTAGATTTCTGAGTTCGAGGCCAGCCTGGTCTACAGAGTGAGTTCCAGGACAGCCAGAACTACACAGAAAAACCCTGTCTCGAAGAAAAAAACAAACAAGAGACAGAGGGACCGTTAGTCCTGTGTGTACTTGTTCAGAAACAGACTTGGCAAAGCCAAGGAGTCAAAGGTTTGTGGAGCTCTGACTCCTCCCCCCTGGAGTGTGGCTACCAGTCCTAAGATAGCTGTTTGAGGTATCTTGTGTTTTTGTCAACATAGTCTTGACTCAGCTCTCTGGTGACCTTGGTCTCTTTTTCCCCTGCAAATAGTATATATGATACTGTACTTAATAAACTTGCTTGGTAGCTAAGTCACCAGCTTCTGGAAGACCTGCTGAATCCCAGCTGTTACTGCTTTCCTCTTTATTTCTCCTCTACTTCTCATCCCTGTAGGGGTTTGATCTGGTGCTGCTTGTATTCAAATGCTAAATTCTGTACCCCAAGATCTGGTTGCTCCAAGACTAGCAAATCCTCACATATACCTGCTTTTGTTGTATAATGACACCCACCCCACCCCACCCCACCCCACCCCCATTATCCCCGATTGGTTAATGAAGGTGCCTACAGCCTGCAGGGGCTTGGGGTCTGAGGCAGGGACCACATGGAAGGAGAAAGGGAGTTTCTATTGGTTTACAGACGATTCCACTAGGCTCTGGCCAAAAGCTACCTAGCTACAGCTTGTGTCAGTGCCCACTGCCTGTCAGGTGCAAGGCAGGTGTGACAGCAGCAGCCAGCATACAGAGGACTGACTGCTGGCTACTCCAGTTCTTTTCACTCTTTCTCTATTCCCATGTGTTCTTAGCCGGCCTCTCCTCCCTCGCTTTCTTTTTGTCTTTCTCCGCTTCTACCCTTTTCCAAGTCCCCACTCCCTTCTCCCTCAATAAACCTTTGTATTAGGTCTATCTCAAAGGTGTGATTCCTCAAGGGGACACCTGGGCACAGGCCCACCCACCGCATTATACCGGAGCTTTATATTTCATAAATTTCAGATAGGCCAGGAGGATGAACTGGAACCATGAGGAAGGGGTCTGGAGTGAGATCATGGAAACACACCTAAAGCCCAGATCATTTAACTGCTCAGCTACTGAGGTGCTGCTTGAAAGAAATCTTGGTTTCTCTGTGTGACTGACTTATGGAGACTAGCATACGATAAAGAAATACAGCTGCCAGATCAATCTACTACTTACATTTATATTAAAAGATAATTCATTTTACACATCCCTATGTGAAGCCCTGATTCCTGCTGGTTTGGGTCAACCCATCATTATCTGGGCTTTAGTCTCATTCTGTGGTCTGACAAGTTTTTAGATCTCATTGAAATCACTACTGAAGACAAATTCCGCCTCAGGCTGGTGCCTTTTCCTTCTTCTAGCATGAGATTCCTGGAGAAATTCACATCTCTTGGGATCTAGTTTCAGAAGTCTGACAGAGTTCAGTTTACAGTTGTTAAGAAGTCAGGACAGGAACTTGAGGCCATGGGAACCTACTCACTGGCGTGTTCTTCTTGGCTTGTAAAGCCTGCTAGCCTGCTTTCTTACAGCACCCAGGACCACCTTCCCAGAGTGGTACTTATCCCGATGGGCTAGGCCCTTCTGCTTCAACCATTAATGAAAAAAATGTTCTATAGACTTGCCTACAGGCCCATTTAATAGAGACAGGTCGAACTGATGAAGGCGTTTTCTCAGTTGAGGTTTCTCTTCCCAAGATTTTAGCTTGCATCAATTCTTAACCATCCTAAGGTTATGTAGCAAACAACCCAGGACACCTCATGAGGTGCCGCTGACAAACCTAACCCAGCAGGATTCCACTCAAGCTCACTTGAGAGTTAATGAGTTTGGGGCTTCTTTACAGAGTATCAGGTGAAATGTTACCTACAGTGATGCTGGTGCCCTCCACCCAACCAGCTGCATCTGCAGGAATAAGAGCCCCCTCCCTAGTCATCCCAGGCCTATCTACTCTGACGCACCACGCAATTAAGGCAGTCGCATACAACAGGTGGCAAGCTGCATCTGCACCCTCAGTTGAGCGTCTCACTGCCTTCCCACCCCTGTGGCAGGATGCAACGTCAACAAGCCCAGTTGTGATAATTCTTTTGGAAGAGGCTCAGCTGAACTCCCCAAAATGAGCTGCCTGTCTCCTGGAACAATCAATCACAACACAGGTGCTCAATTTGCAACTAACTTGGGCTGGCCTAGAACTCACAGTATAGCCTAGGTTAACCTTGAACTCATGGCAGTCCCATCTTAGAGTCTAAAGTACTAAGATTATGGCTTTTTTTTAAAAAGTTTCTACTAGTATTTATGTGTTGTGAGTGCAGGCACCCAGAGAAAGCCGACTGTGAGCTGCCTGATGGGTGCTCTCAACAGAACTTGCCTTCTCTGCTGGCAGAGCAAGTGCTATGGTCTACACAGCCGCCTCCAGGCCCTGAGTATTGCTTTGAATCATAGCTTATTCAGAACCAGAAGACAGAAATGTGGTTTCCTGAGCAGTGTAACAGTTAAGTGCTTATGGGTAGAAAGTGCTAAGCTGTATACTATGTTCTCCATAAACATACGTAATTTATGGGTGTGAGGAAACTAGGAAAGTAGGTCAGTGAGCACACTTTCACAGCAGAACCCAAGGACCAACCATCGACAGTGAGAAGAAATGTTGTTTAAAAAGTATTATGTGTGCAGAGCAGTGGTGGGGGCACACACCTTTAATCCCAGCACTTGGGAGGCAGAGGCAGAGGCAGATGGATCTCTGAGTTTGAGGTCAGCCTGGGTATAGAAAAAAAAAAACCTTGCCTCAAAGAGAGAGAAGAGAGACACACACAGAGAGAATGAGCATTGTGTAGAAACTTAGTAAATAGTGGAAGAATTCCAAAGAACTGAGTGCAGCTTACAGTCTGTATACAATACTAAAGCCAGACATGAAGGTGTAAGGGAACTGAGGGACTAGACAATAAATTCAGGAACCAGCCTGAAATAAGATGCAGAGTCCTCCAGTCCCCACAGACCAAGCTCACAACTATAAACTACAGAGTACTTACCAACTCTTCTCACCTCAAGATAGGCGAGACTTGTGTGATGGTTTGTATATACTTAGCTCAGGAAATGACACATTAGGAGGTGTGGCCTTGTTGGAGTAGGTGTGTCACTATGGGTGTGGGATTTAATACCCTCCTCCTAGCTGCCTGGAAACGAGTATTCAGCTTGCAGCCTTTAGATGAAGGTACTCCTGCACCATGCCTGCCTGGATGCTGCCATGTTCCTGCCTTGATGATAATGGACCAAACCTCTGAACCTGTAAGCCAGCCCCAACTAAATGTTTTTATAAGAATTGCCTTGGTCATGGTGTCTGCTCACAGACAACTTGTCTGGGTACATGTATCTGTAAGACCCTGGTTTCCATCCTCAATACAAAAAAAAAATTCTGTTTTCCAAGGAGACTTCACTAATTTCTTCCAAAAATGTTTAGCTTTTAAAAACATCTCACTATGTCTGGCTTTAACTTAAAAATGTTCCTACTTCAGCCTCCAAGTGCTGAAACTTCAGAAAGTGTCCCGTCATGCCCAGGGAGCCATGTAATTTCTCTGGCTTGTTCAAACCATGGGGAATATCTTAACCAATGCCCATCTGTATCTAACCATCCCACTCCCTTTGGAGCAGAAGGCTAAGATTCAACACAGCAGTCATGGAAGCACGGCTAGTCTTTATTGAAGCCAGCATTGGTGTGAGCAGGGAGGCCCCAGGTGAGCTAGGCAGTACTTTCATTTTCCAATGGATTTTTTTTCTCCTCAAACACCTTTGTAACCCAAGAGGCTTATTTGTCAAAATACCTGCTACATTCTAGCTACATAACAAATCTGACATCCCATCAGTATCTATGAATGCAATTTCATTGCACTTTCGGTCAACAGTTAAAAAATAACCTTGAACAGGGCAGTGGTGGCACAAGCTCCCTGCACTCCAGAGTTGAAGACAAGCAAACCTGTGAGTTCAAGACCAGCCTGAGCAACATAGTCATTTCCAGAATAGCCAGGGCTACACAGTATAAGAAAGACAGAACCTCGAGGTTTCCCAGTGACTTGCCACCAATGCTGGGCTGGAATTCAGGGATTTGCTTGCCTCATATGAAAGCTTTTTAAAGCAATAAAATTTTCTTTGTTCAAAAAGGTATTCATTCATAGGCAGACTGAAACCCAGGGCTCTACATCAGTCTCATTATAAAGGAGTATATAAATGTTGAGAGGAATTCCATTAAAAAATATTGTGACCAAGAAAATATTGCTTGCCTTTAAATAAATATAAATGGCAAAAAATTAAATATACTTAAAGGGTCATTTTCACAAATATACGTTACCATGTAAGGATCCAAGGGAAGGCAGCCTCCACAGCCCTCGAACACACCTGCCACAAAGGAAGGCTGGCTGTTTGGTATAAGAACAGCTCTCCTGGTTGAGTCTGTGTTGTGCAAGCTGTGGAATGGTTGATAGATACCCAGGCCCGCTTCAGTCAGCCAGAGCTATGGTTACTGCAGCTGGGTTTATGTGGAATCCTGCACAAGTGCCTTTCTGTGTTTCTCTGAATGCTCTCTGCCTGTCTGGCTTCTCTGCAGTCCTTTGTGTTCCCTCGGTGAAGCCGGCCCAAGTGTTCAGCTTCACCTCTGCCCGGCATCTCCCCGTGTACCCTACAGTTACAAATAGACTTCTAGCCAAAAGGAAACCATTACACCACTGTGAACAGGGTACAGTCACAAATATTCACAGGCAGGGCTGATACTGGAGGATATCTCACCAAAACAAGACCAACAAAGTCATGTGACTATGGTTCTAATAAAAAGAAACCTGTCAGAAGGCCACCTGCCAGGCCGTGGCTGACGTGGCATGCAGCCAGCAGTTGAAAGACTGTAGGCACAGATTGCTATGTACACTGTGAAATATTGCACATGACACTCAATCTTTCCTTATGTCCACAGGGAACAACTGCAAACATACAAAACCTGGGTCCCTTCAGATGATGGCCAAAGTCCAACATGGAAGCTGGACACGTGAGACATAGACTAGTCCAATGTGGGGTTAGTAGTGGGGCCCAGGGCCCTGGAGAGAAGAGTACGCTCAGTCACAGATCCTTGAGGAGACTGGTCTGGCGTGTACAGCACAGGAGGGGAGCCCACACTACTGGAGGGACTTCGTAAGTGGGCATCATAGGAGCTCGGGGTTAGGCCGGTCACTGTGTCACTCTGGGGCACTTCGCCTTTCAAAAAGTCATCATCTTCATCCTCTACGAGCTCCTGTGGAGAGAATGGAGTGTTGAAAATAACACAGTGTTGGTCTGGAAAGTTTTCATGGAATGGTGAGATGGTGCTTGCCACCAAGCCTAGAACGCGAGTTTGGACCAACATGTGAAAGGAACGAACTAAACCCCCAAGATATAAGTCTGTGTATCCCTGAGGATCTCAAACCAAGAGCAGACTCTACAGTGAGCATTTGTGGCATCTGTACTTGGTGGCTAATGAGCAGATGGCTGGGCAGTGAACTCCACTAGGATCACTTTGTTTGTGGAGCCAGCAAAGTCTTATCCAACAGGAACTGATTTCAACCTGTGGCTCTGACCACTGGGGTCTGAACGGCCTCTCCAGGGGTCTTTCACAGGGTTTGGTTTTAGACAGGGTCTCATCTGTAGCCTCATCCTCTAGCACCCGTCTCACACACACTGGGATTACAGACACTGGCCACACCGTTATTTTCAGCTATTTTTCTTCTCAACACCTCCCTTGCATACCCCAAGACAGGGTCTCGCTATGTAGCAGACTGGACTCAAAACACTTGATCCTCCCAAGTGCTTAAGATGACAGACATGAAGCAGCACACCCAGCTTCGGTGCTGGGATGAAGGTCACGGCCTCACACATGTCAGTCAGGCACTCCACCACTAAATGAGGCTGCAAGCCATTATAAAAGTACCTGATTATTTAAAAGAAATAAGCCAGGTGCTGTTGCACATCTTTAATCCCAGCACTTGGGAGGCAGAGGCAGGTGGGTCTCTGAGTTCGAAGCCAGCCTGGTCTACAGTTCCAGGACAGCCAGGGCTACAAAGAGAAACCTTGTCCCAAAAACCCAAATAAACTAATTAATAAAAATAAAAACCCAGATACATGTACACTTGGAATCTTGGCCTTAAGGAGGCAGAGACAGGCGGATTCCTGTGTTCACTGGCTAGCCAAACTCAGGAAAACTCAGCCAAACTCAGCCTGCCAATAAAAGATCCTGTCTGAGAAAATAGCCTACTTCCTAAGGCCAATACACAGGTTGACTTCTGGTTTCCATACACATGTATGCAACTGATCACACACATATATACAAACACATACAAAAAAAAAAAAAAAGAAGACAGTGGCCTAGTATGACAGTGAACAGTACTGAGTGAGGGGAGAGGGAGGGCGGGCCCAGGGCTGCATGAACCACCATGACAGAAACAAATGAGACAGAACTCCACAGATGCTCTCTTACTAAAACCATAACCTGGGCCTTGACTCAAGCGCATGCACTGTGCGCACTACAGGAGACTCTAACCACTGTCTCCACCCAGCTTTACCTTTTTAGTGGACTTCCTAAACTCCTGGAGCTCGTCAGCACTCATGTCTTCCCAAATCTGATAAACAGGATCGATGAACTTCTTTGACCTGCCAAGGACGGCATTTCAAAGTCAGTATGTAGCCAAAAACTCCAACACCATGGCTCTCTTCTCAGACACACACCCCAGAGCAGGAAGGAAAGACTACAGCTGACAAGGGAAGTCTGTCGAGTCTGAGGTTTCAGCATTAGGACCCCCAGTAATGCAGGTGAGTGATTAAATCTCTGTCTCTCAGATTTCAAGGGAAACTGCTTTTGACCCATTCAGTAAGGAACAAATTATCACATGGACAAACAGACTGATATTCTGGAACTCCTACAGGAATCTGTTAAATGTTAAGTCTAGAAAACCAACTACAGTGACATCACCCAGCCAAGACTTAGGGACCAGGCAACATGAAAAGCTGCATATAAACTATCTGGGGCTGGAGAGATAGCTCAGTCATTAAGAGCACTTGCTGTGGTACACATGTATACATGCAGGCAAAACACTCACAAAACAAAATACGTTAGAAAAGGAAAAAAGAAAAGAAAGAAACTGCAGTTAGCAAAAACATACAAATACCAAGAATGACTCAGTGGTTTCCCAAAATAATCTTGTAGATAAATCACAAACACTGGGATGGGACTCAGTCTCTAAAGGATAGATAATGTTGGCAGAAACCTAGGAGGCCAAAAGCTGTCAGTCCTCTCTGTCCTGGAAACCGGACTCACCCCCCGCCTCCCAGACTAACCCATCTAAACCAACCAGTTCACAAACAAAACAAAACAGCAAGCCAAAAAAGGCCTCAGTACCGCCTGGGCTCAGGAAAACATGAACACAGAATGGCGTTCTTGTGAAGCAGTCTGAGGACTTTGCCAGGCACGCATTCACTATCACCCAAATTAACAGTAAGCCCACTGAGGACAGAGCAACTCAAAATCCCAGCCTTGGGAAGAGGAAGAAGAGATGACCTACCTCTTAAGCACACAAGGGTCAAAGGGGAAGAAAGTGTCCAGTGGGTTGGTGCAGGTCTGCACAGAGTCTCCGCCAGCTGTACTTCGAATGACGGGGAGCATCTGGCGACTGTTCCTCTCCATGATGGTGTAGCAGAACACGAGCTGGTATTTACTGTGGGATACACAACAAAGCTGAGGGAGCATCCCCATGATGGGGCCAGGCCTGTGGGCCGTGATATCGAGATCACAGCTGAAATGCAAACACTGCTGGATACGAGGGTGAAAGAACAGAACCAGTTAAGGTAAGTGCTCAGACACGAAGGTGCTGCACAGAAACACATGCTGGCAAAACACTTGTATACACTTGGGAAAACAAGTCAGGTACAGCGGACATGGTGGCACACACCTTTGATCCCAGTGGAGGCAGGAGAATCTCTGTGAGTCTGAGGCCAGCCTAGTCTACATGGTGAGTTACAGGACAGCCAAACCTACATAGTGAGACCTCATCTCAAAATAACAACACACACACCAACACCAACACCAACAAAAAGCCAGGTGCAGTGCATACTTTTAACCTCAACACAAGGCTGGGCTCACTGGCTGGCACTGTTGTTCTTAAGCAAAAATTCACTTAAAAGATTTTTCATGAAATTCAAGTCAGCATAGATGAAATTCTAAAATAGTAGCACAATATAATCCAAAGATAACTAGTTCCATATTTACATGCTGATGAATGACAGTAGGAAAGAATGAAGCCTTTGCTTTCCATAATTACAGCATTATACTTCTGTAAGACGAGAAAATGTGTGCTATAGTAAAAACCCTGACTCATGCCATGCTGTGGTCGGACATCCAGACAGTGCAGAGCTCCATGCTCAGAAATTAGCTGGGGTGAGGATGGGCCATGCACTTTCCAGAACACCTCAGATTTGTTACTGCTTGATACTGAATTCAGTTTTTGTTGTGCATTCTGAAACTTCACCACTGTCAAGTGCTTCCTGAGAGCCAGACTCGGCTGTCCTAACCTTTAACTATCACGGTGTCCCCCAGTTTGTTCTGTTACTAATACGTGTCTCCCTGGAACTAAGGAGTTGTGGCTTACTGACACCTCGCCGTGCACTAGCTTGCCTCTTTAGTATTCGTTTGTCCATTAAGTATTAGAGTCCTAGGCTGCTCTGGATAAAAGCGGGACTCCAGTGTCGCTAAGAATAAAATACCTGGCTGTACTACTCTTGCAAGAACAGCATTACTGGTTTCTTTATATGTATTGCTCTTGAAAATGGACTGGAATTTACTCTCAGTGCCAAAGCAAATGGCATCCAGCACCAAGCTCCACCCCTTGACTTTTTAAATGCCCATAAAGGAAAATGCAAACGACTCACTTTGTGATAGCAGCAAAGAAATTAACCACAGACGGCAGGCAGATCTTCAGTGGATTCAGCTGGCTCAGCACGATGCGCTCAAAATTTAGACTCTGAAGATACCGCAGACCTTTGATTAAAAGAGGGGAGGGGTTAAGATATCTTTAAAAGCACAAATTATTACATACGTAAAAAAACAGTTTCAGAGCTCTGTGGTAGGACACATGCTTAGGATGGGCTTGAGCCCCAGTACACCACACCCCAAAATAAAGATATTATAAACAAGTTACTGGCAGAAATACAGGAATAAAAGTCAAGCCAACTACTGATAACAGTACAACTGTTCGAAAGAAAGAAACAAGTTCCTATTGGGTGAAGGATTACATGGCAACTTGGAATCTGTGTCTGTACGCTCGGGGCAGGCACCAACTCAGTCCAACTCGTGCCTTCATTAGTAGTGAACGAAGCACCATCCTAAGATTGCACGTTACTGACAAGATTTCCTCCCTCTCCCTCAGTCACTCCTACAAAGGAATCCTAGCCCAGGCTGAGGTAGAAAAATTATGAATTGAAGCCAACTTCAGTTCCATAGTGAAATCACCTCAAAAAAATATTTTTTTAAAATAAAATGCAGATACATTTATTATTTTGAACCAAGCAAACCAATTCATGTCTATTTTCTTAATTACCAATTAAGCTGGTAATTAAAATTACCAATTTAAAATTATATAGGAATGGAGAGATGGCCCAGGAGTTATGAGCACTTAATTGCTTCTGTAGAAGACCAAGCCTGAGTTCCAGGCTCAGTCCTGTTTGTGGCTCCGATTCCAGGGGTCTGGTGCCCTCTTATGAACTCCATGGGCACTAGGCACACACATGATGCACAGACATACATGCAAGCAAAACATCCATACACATAAAGTTAATAAACCTAATATATTAATAAATTATATTATAAATAATGTATGTGTGTGTATATTTATATGTGTATATACATTCAAAAATCACATACAAAGCCAGGTATGGCACACAACTGTAATCTCATCCCTTGGGAGGCTTAGGCAAGGTAGCACACACATACACACACAGACACGGACACAAATAGACATAGTATCACATATACACGCACATACGCACGCACACACACACACTCGAGTCTATGTGCATGTAAGCCCATGCACGCGTGTGCACACACATAGGCACGTCCCTATTGGGGTCCAGGCATAACCCCTCACCCACATATGGCCCTGGGACTTCAGAAAACTACAGGCATGTGATAAAATCTAGGACAGTGGTTCTCAACCTGTGGGTCACAATCCTGTTGAGAGGTCAAATGACCCTTTCACAGGAGCCACCTAAGATTGTCAGAAAACACAGATATTTACTTTACGATTCATAACAGTAGCAAAATTACAATTATAAAGTTAATAATGAAAATATTTTTGTGGCTGGGGTCCCCACAACATGAACTGTATTAAAGGGTCGCAGCATTAACAAGACTCTTTTGTTTTGTTTGGTTTTTTGAGACAGGGTTTCTCTGTGTAGCCCTGGCTGTCCTGGAACTCACTCGGTAGACCAGGCTGGCCTCGAACTCAGAAATCCACTCTGCCTCCCAAGTGCTGGGATTAAAGGCGTGTGCCACCACCACCCCGCAGCATAAAGAAGATTAAGAACCACTGGCCTAGGAGGAATGTTGTCCTGGGGCAAAACAAGACCACGAGGAAGTACATCAGGAAGAACTCAAATGAGGAGAGCCAAGGACACTGCTTGTTCAAGCTCCAAGGACAGGGCTCTCTCTAGTAGCCAGCTAAACAATACATAAACAGCAGTGGGAAAAACAAAAGTTGTTCATCCCTGAAGTGAACCCAGAACTCAAGGTCCATGGTGCTCCTGTGGTGACACCCCACCCACAACCCCTTCACACATTTAAAAAGCAAGAACTTTTTAAATGTATCAACAGGATGACCCATAGAGAACAATGCCTTGGGGAACTGTAAGAGAGGCTCCAGGGGAAATTGGCAGAGGGCCTTTACCTCAGTTTATCCCCTGGATTGCTTGTGGACATGATTCTGTGCCTCCTGTGACAAACATTCACCTTCGATTTATAAGACAGGTTTATTCCTGTTGGATGTCGGAACATAGCTATAGAACCCAATCTGGCCAGTGTACCATGAGTCTGGATATGGCCTTCTGCCTTGCTTTTGTTTCCCAGACATAATCTACAGTACGTGCCAGGCAACTGTGTTTAGATTGGTCTGTTCTGAGAAAGCTCTGGGAAAGGGCTGCCCTGTCTGATAATATTTAGCATGTGCTTACTGGTGTTTATTTACATGTTTTTCTGATCATGTGTTTCTGAACTCAAGCAACTGTCCTTGGTTCACTCTGTGTTATATTCCTGTATTAAAAAGCACACTGAAACTGAAGTAAAGTTGTCTACACTAGACTATACCCCACCCCATCCTTTCAGGTCCTCAGATCCCAGACAATACCTGCACAGTTCGATGGAAGCCGGCAAATTCAAGACCAGCAGCAGTGCCCTAAAGGTGTACGTACAGAAAGAAAGCCCAGCCTGGACCCACACAACTGACCTTCCTTCAAGTTTCCACTCAAAAGCTGCTTGTGCCTAAAAACAAAAGTGTAGAACACAGCCTGGCAGGCTGAATAGAACGGTCCGTGGAGTGCAACGTCACAGAAAGCCTTTGATCCCGAATCCTGGTTATTAAGGTACATATGCAGCCAGTTAACCAAAAGATCCAGGCACGACTTCACAGTGCTAGAAAGAGAAAAAAGGCAGAGTTATTGATTTTATCAGAAAGCTAGATACAGAAACACACACTATCCATTATAGAAGGCTCAAACACTACCTATGGGCTGGGGTGTAGCTCACGGGTAGGCAACTGCTTAAATGCATTATGTCTTGGGGTCCATCCCCATCACAAAAAAGAAATAACTCAACAAAATAATAATAATAATAAAGAAAACAAAACAAAAACAAATAAGCAAACAAAAAAACTCACCAAAAACCTTAGCCAAGAACAAAGAAGCAGAAGGAAAAGGATGGTGGTAGGAAGTTGCCTCCCAATTTTTCATTGTGGTTTTCCGTCTGAGACAGGGTTTCTCTGTATAGCCCTGGCTGTCCTTGAACTCAGAGTTCCACCTACCTCTGCGTCCCAAGTGCTGGAATTAAAGGATACCTTCCGTTTTAAGGTAAGACAGTGCTGTTTTTTGTAGAGCAAGAGGCCTTAGGGACTGACTTGTAGAACAATTTTGTCTCAGAAAAATACAATAAAACAAAACAAAAAACAAAATACTTCTAAGGATGGAGCTGAATTATTCCAACAGGTTTCCTGGATCAGCTCCCAACCCAATGTGGCTAAGATCACATCTTCTTATGGTCTGGACTTACAACGTGGAGCCACACAGACTTTCAATTGACTAGGAGATGAGCTAACAGCATCTCTGCTGAAAGACAGCTTCTGGAGCCCCCTGAAGAAACTGGCCTCCATCCCACACCTAATTACCTTAAAAAGGGTATTCCTCAGGTCAAACAGACACAAGTGACTTGGAAAGCAAGTGAAAAATGACAAACCTACAAAAAGAATCAAAAAAATCTACACCAGCATGCTATCCATGAAGACAGACAGCCTCTCAGGATGACACATGAACACCTGCTTTCTAAAAGCTTCATGTACTTCTTCTATTATCCAAAATGGAGCTTTCCCCTTCTCAAGCTGCTTCTTAGAAATAAAGACATCTTACACTATAGTGAACAGATTTCCCCCTTGCTTTACAAGGACAGACCAAAAGTATACGGCCTATTTCTTTGACAAAAACAAACAAACAAACAAACAAACACACTATAATCTTCCTAAAACAAACATTAAAAAGGATTTGGAGAGCTGGAGAGATGGCTCAGCGATTAATAGCTTCCAGAGGTCCTGAGTTCAATTCCCAGAAACCATGGGATCTGATGCCCTCTTCTGGTGTATCTGAAGAGAGTGACAGTGTACTCACATAAAATAAATATATAAATCTTAAAACAACAACAACAAAAGGCATTTAGAAAATTAAGTTACTTACATAAGAGGAATAAATTTAGCTCTTGCTAAAAAGCTCCCCATGTAATTCGCAGCAGCTTGTCTGATGATGGCAGGGTTATTTGGATCCTGCAACTTTTTCCAGAGATGTTCCAAAAATGCTTCTGCAAATCCCTGTAACAAGAGAGACTGCTAGCTTGATCTTTCTAATGTTGAAGATATTCTAGCTCTCAGCACCCTGAAGATGTCATCTAACAATGTAGTTACACCGCTAAACACGAAAAAGCAGTCATGGCTCTTATTTAAAAGCCCAGCCCAGCAGACTCAGCTTTCCCACCCCATCTCTCTGTGTCAGTCACTGACACCTAGAAACACTGTCCCTCTAGGACCCAGTGGCCAGGCTGGGCTGGGCCTCAGGTCATGTCCTTCTTGACCTCTAATATAGTCGCCCCAGCCTCATCCCAGCCCTTAGCAGGACACCTGCAGGGCCCTTCTCCCTCCAGCTATTTACTCCTCAGTGAATCTGCCAAACCTCGGCATGGATGCAGCTTTCCCTCTCCCTGTGGGCCTTCTCAGCACACCCATCCCTTGTAACCCGTCCTGGTTCCTTCCTATCAGCCCCCACACCTAGAAACACTTTCTTTTCTATCCCAAAGGTCCCCAAGAGTTTCGGGCAGGGACTCAGGTAGATGAATCACACGTCCTCCATTAAGATCTCTCCACTCTCACCTTCAGAGAACATCCACCTCCAACTCTTAGTCTAGACCCAAGGCCCCCCTAGACATTCCATCCCTCTCTCTCTTCAATTCTGTGACATAATGTGACCTACAACCAGGATCCCCTGACACACCTCCAACTCCCTGGGGACCCCATCTCTAGAGTACGCAGGACCACAGGTGTGTCTCGCCTGAAGCGCCCTCAGCCTTCTCTCTTAGCCCGTCTCTACTCCTTCCTCTTTACCACACACGCACCTCCAGAGGCACTTTCTATCAGACAACCCATCACTTCCCTAAGATCCAGAGAGGGTAACAGAAACCAAGAACAGAACACCTGCTCAAAGACAAGACCAGATATCAACACCAAGAAGCACCTCAAATCCTGATGTCTAGATAGACAGCAGTGCAAAAACACAACTTTAACACCCAAAACAACACACCTCCACCAGAATCCAGCAGCTCTGCTGCAGCAGGCTCTGAAAACTGCAGCATAGCCGAAGCACACATAAGGACTTTAAAATAGCAATGATGAGTGTGTCCAAGGACCTTAAGGAACAGATTGATATGAGGAAATTCCTTAATAAAGTCCCAAACACACAAAGAGTGGAATGAAATAATGACAGTAGTTCAAGACACGGAAGATGAGAGGCCGGGTGGCGGCAGCACATGCCTTCAATTAAAAAAAAAAAAAAAAAAATCCTTAGGGTAAATCAAACCAAGCAAGTGAAAAACTTGCATAATAAAAACTTTTAAGACACTGAAAAAAATGCTACAAGATGGAAAGATCTCCCATGCTCATGGATTAGTAGAATGAATACAGTGAAAACAGCAATCCTGCAAAAAGCAGTCTAGAGATCCAACACAATTCTCCACAGAACTTCCAGCTCATATGGAAACAAACACACGCGCGCATACACACACGTGCACACACACACAGAGAGAGAGAGAGAGAGAGAGAGAGAGAGAGAGAGAGAGAGAGAGAGAGAGAGACAGACAGAAAGCAATCCTGAATAATAAAAGAACTGCAAGAAGTATCACCATCCCCAATCTCAAGGGGTTCTACAGAGCTACAGTAATAAAAACTGCATAGTACTGGCAAACAAAGAAATGTTTATCATTGGAATCAAATTGAAGACTTAGACATTAGTCCAAACACCTATGGTCAGCTGATTTTTTTTTATCAAAAAAAGAAAAAGCCAGAAATATACACTGGACAAAAGAGCATCTTCAACAAATTATACTGACCTAGTGAAACTGCATGGCGGCATGGCTGCATGCAGAAGAATGTAAAGATCCCTACTGACCCCTGCATAAAATTCACCTACAAAGAAATCAAAGACTTCAATATAAGGCCACATACCCTGAACGCAACAGAAGAAAAAGTGGGGAATAGTCTTGAACTCATTGGCACAGGAGAAGACTTTCTGAACAGAACACTGATAGCACAGGCACTAAGAAGAATAAATGAGACTTCATGGAATTAAAAGCCTTCTGTGCAGCAAGGGACACTGTCATTTGGACAAAGTGGAATGGAAAAAGAACAGAATGGGAAAAGAACTTACACCAATTACACATCTGAAAAATGGTTACTATCTAAAATACATAAAGAACTCAAAAACCAAAACCTGAACATCAGGAAAACAACACAATTTAAAAATGGGGTACATAATTCTTAACACAGAGTTCTTAAAAGATGAAACACAAATGGCTGAGAAACATTTAAAGAAATGTTCAAGGATCCTTAGTCATCAAGGAAATGCAAGTCAAAACTACTCTGAGATTTCCTTCTACACCAGTCAGAATGGCCAAGATCAGTAAGACAAAGGACAGCTCATGCTGGCAAGGATGCAGGGGCAGAAAACACTCACCCATTGCTGAGGGAGTACAAATTCTACAGCCAGTATGGAAATCAGAGTGGTGGTTCCTCAGGAAGCTGGAAATACATCTACCTCACTTGTGGGTATCTACCTAAAGGACTCTGTATCCTACTACAGAGAGACTTGATCACCCATGTTCATGGCTGCTCTGTTTATGCATAATAGCTAGAACTAGAAACAGCTTAGATCTCATCAACAGAGGAATGGATAAAGAAAATATAGTACATTTACAAAATGGATTACACAATTCAGCTGTGGAAAAAGGAGGAAAGAAAGAAAGGAAGGAAGAAAGAACATATTAAATTTGCAGGTAAATGGATGGAGCTAGGAAGAAAATCATCCTAAGAGTCGTAATTCAAACACCAAAGACAAGATCATACATGGATATTGAAGTATTTAAGCCTTCGACAGGCTTCAATATAACCAGGTGTTAGGTATAAAGAATAAACTAGAAGGGATGGGAGGGTTTCCCAAGGTAGGAAAAATAATGGGAGGATTAACTGGAGAGAGGAAGAGGGAAGAGGGGGTAAAGGAGGGACAGCTAACACTGTGGGCAATCTGAAGGGTCATTAGAAACCTACTACAATAGAAGCTTCTGAAAATATATACATACTTGAAAGAAGTATAAATGGAAGCACCAAATATCAAGGAAGACAAACCCACAACTATACATCTTTCAGCACAATGTGAACCCTCCAGGGCCAGGACTACTTTACATCTTTGTTGTAACCCATTGTTTGGGTTGTTGAATTGTTGGCCAAAGAAACTCCCCCAAAATTAAAGCTATCGCCAAGCCTATTAGTTGTTCTCCACAAACTGATGATGAGGCCTGAAGGCTAAAGATAACACTGGAAATCTCACTGAACAGAGCCTTCACCTTTTACTGACTAGAATGCACGGTACTAGAAAGGACTCTGTGTGCTACCAAAGGAGAAATGTGATTAGCAACCCAGCTTCAAATCCTTCGATCTACAAGGGTGACCTGCCTCCATGACACACTGTGCCAAAAGCAACACAACTGTTGAAGTAACCAACCACTATCTGACTGAATTTAAGGCCCACTCCAGGAGATGGAATCTATGCCTGGCTGCCAAGAACCTGAGACTGATAGATCACAGACTTAACAAAAACCCAAATACAACTGTTTGGCAAGAAGATGAAGCCATAAAATAATGGTTCTGCTTTACTTATTGATTGGTGTCACTCATCCATCATAAGAGAAGATTCCTGCAGTAAGACTGGAATGTGTAGCAGAATTTCCCCCCAATTAATTTAAATATTAATACAACAAGAAGCCTGTGATTGGACAGGGGAAAGGGAGGTGGAGCAAAGAGTTTCAGAGACAGAGAGGGGGGGGAGAAGGAAGATGGAGGAAGAGGAAGATGATCCAGATTCCTTGTGGCTTTAATTAGCCCCAGGCAGCTATGAATATCATAAAGGACAGGATAATTGGGATAACTGGTCTAATCTAGGTGGGCAGCTTGTATCATTATCAATTGGCTCTGATATTATTGTGTGGGCATCTTGTGAATGGAGAATTTACTGATATATAAATCTGACTAATTAATTACAAGCTTCTAGAGTTTTGATTTACTGGGTTAAGGGGATTTGTGACAACTAGCCGCAGGGGGTAGATGGCTGAGAAGAACAGTGGTTCTGAGGTAGGCGAATCAGGAGATGGGAAGACCTGCAGCATGAGAACCTTGAGATGGGTGGTCTCTACTTGGGGCTAGCCCTGGAGGCAGAGGGGGTGGCAGGGGCCTGAGAGTAGCCAGAGATAGCCAGGATGTTGCATTTTTTATTATTTCTTGCAACAAGAATGCATATAGAGACCCACATCTTGACGATGAGAGTGAGAGAGAGACCTTTGACCACTCAGTTCTAAATGGGTTGTCTCCATCAAACCCCTCCCCTCAGAGCTCAGGAACTATGTAGAAAAGCAGGCCAAAAGAAAAGCTATCTCCAACTCCCTGTTGTAAAGGAAAAATCAGTTTCTCCAAAGGCTTTTCAAATCATACTTAAGAGCAGGCTCCACGTCCAGGAGTAAATAGCCAATATAAAATCTTATTTTTTGCTTGTATATTAAAGTTTCTAATTTTATGTTTTTATAAATCTTGTTTGTGTCTGTTTGTGTCTTTGTGTACCATTTCCCTTTGTTTTTTATGTGCTGTTATTCCTATTGTTGTTGTTATTATTTGTGGGGTTTTGGTTGCTGTTGTTGCCTGTTTGTTTTCTCAAAGAGAGAAAGAAAGAAGGCCTGGAGGACCTGGGGTATGAAGATTAGGAAACCATGATCAGAATAGATTGTATTTTTTAATTAAAAAAGAAGAAAAGAAAAACCTACCTCTTAAAACTACAAAAGTATCCCAGGTGGGAAATGATCCAATGGACCTCACAATCAATGCAAAGGGTGAGGCTCAGTGGTGTTTCTATTGTCCCTACCAGTGGGAAGAAATTTGATGCCAAGCCTGGCAACATATAGAATCCCTGCTCAGAGACACAAAAGCTGGTGAGAGGGCTCAGCAGGGAAAGGTGCCTGCCACTAATCCTGACACCCAAGTCTGAAGTGGGGATTCATACAATGGAAGGAGGGAACACACTCACAAACGCTGTCCTTTTATAGGTATATGGTGGCAAGGTGCATGCACGTTCACACCCATGCTCATGTGTACACACACACACACACACACACACACACACACACTCCATACCACCACAAGCAACAACAACCAGAAACAGACACACAAACCTAAATAAATGTCACATGTAATTTTACAAGTCACAGCAGAGCTAGAGGGACAACTCAGCAGCACCCACACGGAGGGTCACAACCTCTAACTATAGTCTCAGGGGATCCAGTGCCCTCTTTGACCTGAGGACATCAGACACGCAAGTGGTACATAGAAAGACATGCAGGCCAAATATCCATATATATAATTAAAAAAATAAAATCACACACACACACACACACACACACCCCTCTGTGCAGAATGTAGGTCTGAGGGAGAGCTTTGCAAAAGCTCTGTGAGTACAAGGCCAGCTGGCCTACTCAGCAAGTTCCAGGCCAGTGAGGGATATGTAATGAGATCCTATCTCAAAAAAGAAAAGACCGAGTGATTTAGATCCTGAGCCAAACCTGAAGACCAGAGCTTATCCACACTCCTCAGAACTCCCCAGAGGTTCTTGCTATGAATACAAAGCATTCTATTTGTTTATCAGCCACACAAACACAAGATTAAATAGAGGAATAATTGCCAACAGGCTTCCTAGCAAAAGGCACGCCCTACACCAGCTCCCTAGAGACTGTTTTCTAAAGCCAGGAATACTCAGGTTTCATTAAGACTGAGGTTAGCTTTTGGAGAAAGCCCAAAACTACAGTTTTAAAACTCTGGGTTGCCGGGCGGTGGTGGCGCACGCCTTTAATCCCACCACTTGGGAGGCAGAGGCAGATGGATTTCTGAGTTCGAGGCCAGCCTGGTCTACAGAGTGAGTTCCAGGACAGCCAGGGCTTTACAGTCTTGAAAACACCAAAAAAAAAAAAAACAACTCTGGGTTAAGAAGTTTGAATATGAGACCAAAAGATGGTTCAATGAACTATGCTTGATCCCTGGGGCCCAAGTAGTAGAAGAGAACAAACTCCCTCAGGGTGTCCTCTGACCTCTGTGAAACAAGAGAGTTTGCTGCTCTTTTAAAAGACATGTGCTTGAGTCCTAGCACTCACCTCAGGTGGCTCTCAATACTGAGAATAAAAGAAATAATAGCCCAGGCCAGGTATAATGGAGTATGCCTATGATACCAGTTCTTAGGAGGCAAAGGCAGCCAGATCTGAGTTTGATCCCAGTCTGGTCTACATCTCTAGTTCCAGGACAGCCAGGGCTATAGAGAGTCCCTGCCTTTAAAAACATCCCACAAACATCTCCAGGGCTGGGAGCCAAGGATAGCTTGGTTGGTAGAGTACTTGGTTGCTTCCCTTACAAGAGCTGGATTTAAGCCCCAGTACCACCAAAAGGGGAAGGGCACCATCTAGTGACCAAAGGCAGGACAACACCTTTAGTGTCTTCCACAGTTGTTGAGGAGGAAAATGTGGAATAAGATAATAAAATAGGGCTAGAGAGATGGGCTGGGGATTAGAAGCTCATATTGCTCCAGAAAACCAAAGTTCAGCTCCAGGGGCTCTGATGCCCTCTTCTAAATGCTGTGGGCAATGCTCACACAACACACATAACCACACACAGACATGCTCAGGTACACACACTTTTAAAAAATAATAGTAAGTTTTTAGTTGAGCCTGGTAGCATATACCTCTAATCCCAGTCAGTATTCATGAGGTAAAGGCAAGCAGATCTCTTGAGTTCCAGGCTAGCCTATCAATCCATCCATCCATCCATCCATCCATCCATCCATCCATCAATCAATCAAACATATTAATCTCAATTTACTTACCAATTTGAAGCTGCAAAGGAAAAACATGAAGAACTGTACATGGCAGGAGGCATGTGTGGGCAACACAAGTTTGTCAAAGATGGATATCAGATCCCGGTATAAATCTTTTGTTTTATTGTTATCAATTTTACCTACAGAGAAAATTTTAATGTTAATTTCACAGACATTTTCAAAGAAACACAATACCATTAGGAATCAGCATTTGAAAGCAGTGCTGGTACAGGCCTTTAATCTCAGCACTCAGGAGGCAGAGGCAGGTGAATCTCTGAGTTCCTGGCCAGCCTCGTCTACAAAATTAGTTCCAGGATAGCCAAGGCTGTTATATCAAGAAACCGTCTCTTGAAAAACCAAACCAAACCAACCAACAAACAAAAAAAGTCAGCATTTGGGCAACGGCTGTACATTCATGAGGCTCAAGTACAAAAAGTAAAGAAAAGGCCTAAAAGCAAAAAAGCAAATCCAAACCAAACCAAAACCTCAGAATTAAGCAGGCAGCAGTTTTGCATCCTGAGTCATCTCAATGGCTCCAGACTTTGCCTTTCTCAAAGCAAATCAAAGTAATCCAAATGACAAGGAATCAAGAACTTACTTCACACACTGCTGTGAAGCCACAGTCTCATGTAGCCCAAGCTGGCCTGCAATTCTATGTACAAAAGGCCGATCTTGAACTCACGTGCCTCCTGCCTCTACCTCCCAAAATCTGAGACTACAGACATGAACTACTATGTCCATATCTGCTATGCTGATTAAACTCATGCCTTCTTTTTGGTTTTGAGACAGGGCTCCTCTATGCACCCATGCCTGTCCCGAGACTTGGGTCGCTAACTCAGAGATCCACCTGCCTCCCGTGTGCCACCAAGGCTGGCTAATAAACTCATTCTTAAACCACAGAAGGGTGCATGGACATGCAGTCTCCAGGTTGTTTTCTGAAAACTAGTTTACTCTGTAAAGTTAAAGTCCTGACACTGGGTATAATAAATACACCTGCAAAGGCCTCCCAAGAAACTATAGAATACAGGCACCATCCTAAGATGGTCAGCACACCATTATTGAACTTCCTTAGCATCTCAAATACAAGTGATCTCTTCTAAAGTTGTCCAAACACCATCTAATGCCCAACAGTGAGAACATTATGGGCTTTGATGTTCACTTTGAGTACTGAAGTCTTAACCCCACTGCCTCCATTTTCAAACTGTGGCCCTGGACCAGAAGAAGGTGGTGTGTCTAGCCCTGTATCTCGTCCTCAGGGCACCCTGGCGGTTACCATGCACACGGCAGACATCCTCAATGTAGGACAGCAGCAAAGAAAGCAGGGTGTCCAGGCGCTCGGCAGTAGGATGGGCCATCTGGCTAGGCCGTTCCTGGTCAGCTTTCTTCTCAGGGTCAGTGTCCTCATCTTCATCCTTGAACAAATGGAAACTGATATTACAGAAGTCACAGACTCCTTAGTGTCTAGGGAAACTGACACAGGCCATTACTTCTTTTAAATAACAAGAAAACACACACATTGTCCCAGTCTCTCAAGCAGAAATGTGGACCAGTCAGGTCTTAAATTTTAAATAAACACCAGTGTATTCTCCTTTTTTTTTTTTTTTTTTTCATTTTCTTTACCTTTTGGGGTTTGAGGAATGGGGCAAGTGTGAGAGGGAGAGACTGGGACTGGATCCTCATGCAGACTAAGACTGTGTACCCTCAGCCCTACTCTCAAGAAGACCTAGACAGAACTGGCTATGCCGACAACACATTCCCATCCCTGAGTCTGCAGTGCTGTGGCTGTGTCACCTTTCCTAGGTCTGGGCAGCATCTTAAAGCTACTGTGTTGTCTGCCAAGAACACACAGCCTCTCCAGTCACAGCCTCAGAACCAATATCCAAGAGTCAAAGGTGGCACAGAACCATTGAGATTCTCAGGGACCATAGTCTGTCTCATCTCCAGAATCTACATGGGAGACGACAACAGACTCCAAACAACTGTACTCTGGCCCATGTTCCCATGGCACATGTGTGCCACTTCCTGCCACATCCAGAAAACAGGCTCTCACTTAGCTCCTCCCAGCTCTCTTGCTCCCCATGCCTGGACTCAAAAGTACCTCAATTCAGCTCAAACTCTGGTCAGTAACCTCCACAGTACACCTCATCCCAATTAGAGAGTGATGACTTTAAGGTATCTAACTGGCAAAATATAGAAAGTAGGCCCCAGAGAGATGGCTCGGCTGTTAAGGAGTACTGGATGCTCTTCGAGAGGACCCGGATTCTATTCCACATGGCACCACACACCTATCTGTAACTCCAGTCCACAGCAGCTTCTGACACCCTCACACAGACATATATGCAGACAAAACACCAAAGACATAAAATAAACTTAAAAAAACAGAAACTAAACTGGGACACTTTGTGCTTGCTGTTTCCTCAGATGCTTGTGGCTTACAGAAACAATGAAAAACATTTGATGAATGAAAATGAAACAAATTTCACCAAAAACAAACTTAAACCCTTAGACATAAGATAAGGCTACACTTATCTTAAAGGGCTCCATTAGCATCCTATATAGGAAGTAAATAACATGTCAGCACTGGGCATGCTACTTACCTGTAATCCCAACAACATACTCATTCAAGAAGATATTCACAAGTTTGTTAAACTATTTACTTACCACAAGTATGTGAGCAGGCACACATGTGCACACGTATGTGAGCAGGCAGACATGTGCACAAGTATGTGAGCAGGCACACATGTGCACACGTATGTGAGCAGGCACACATGAGCACACGTATGTGAGCAGGCAGACATGTGCACATATATGTGGAGGCTACAAGTTGCTTAGTTTCGTCTTCCTTGGGACTGCTGCCTACCTCTGAGACAGAGTCTCTCACTGATCTAGGGCTCACTACTTATTCTAGACTGGCCCAACGGTCATGCCAGAAGTCTTCCTGTCTGTGCCTCACTAGTGCTAGGATTCTGAGCACATGTCACTATACCCAACATTTTTATCTGGGTTCTAGGAGCTAAACTTAGGTCCTTCTACACACAAGACAAGCACTCTGCCTGCACAGCTATCCTTCTAGCCCTCCACTATTGTGTCTTAACAGAAATCCTGGAAAAGGCTAAGCCCACAGCTATCTTTCCACACTCTGAAGTGATAAAGCTCCAATGTATGCTTCTGTTAGTAGAAATGCTAATAAGGACAAGAATCAAAACAAAAGATTAAAGCAAAGGAGTTTAGCCATCAATGTCAAAGCAAAGAGATGCTGATGCTGACCATATTAAACAGTCCTTCTGTGGTATCTGTCCCACCACAAGTCTGAGCTGCTGTCTCTTCAGCATCTTCAATATCCTGCCGTGATACGCTCACCTATATCACAAAAAATAAATGAAAGCATTTAAAAAAATGCAGTGATTTGTAGCTGAAAATTAATCTACTATATATATTTTATATCGTTTGTCTTTCGAGACAGAGTCTCTCCACATAGACCAAGCTGTCCTGGAACTCACTTCTTAGACCACACTGGTCTTGAACTCACAGAGATACCTCTGCAGCCTGAGTGTTGGGAGGGCACTTTGCCTCCTCCTGAGTGCTGAGATTAAAGGAATGCACACCCTTCCCCTCCTCCCCAGCTGTTCAGGCTATACAGGGCTACAGCTCAATACCCTGCCTCAATAAACAAAATTCAGAGACTGGAGAAATGTCTCAGCTGTTGAGACCACTTGTTCTTTCCCATCCATCCATTCTTCCATCCATCCACCCATCCATCCATCCTTCTATCCACCCATCTATCCTTCCATCCATCCATCCATCCACCCATCTATCCATCCATCCACCCATCCATCCATCCACCCATCCATCCATCCTTCCATCCACCCTTCTATCTATCTATCCATCCATCCATCCTTCTATCCATCCATCCATCCTTCCATCCATCCATCCACCCATCCATCTTTCTATCCATCCACCCACCCACCCACCCATCAATCCATCCATCCAGCCAGCCAGCCAGCTGGTTTTTCAGGGCAGGACTTCTCTATGTAGCACTGACTGGCCTGAAACTCACTCTATGTACCAGACTGGCCTCAAACTCTAGAGATCTGCCTGTCTTCACTGAGTGTGCCACTTCCATCACCAGCTAAAAGCACTTTTATTCCAACTCCCAGTATCCACATGGCAGCTCACACCCATCCTTGGACCTCTGCAAGTACCACAAACACAAGAGATGCATAGACATACAAACAAAATATAAATACATACACAAATAATACATAAAATAAGACAAATTCATAGGGAGGGAGGGAGGGAAGGAGGGAGGGAGGGAGAAGAAGAGGAAGAGAGAGATGGAGAGAGATGATAGATAGATAGATAGATAGATAGATAGATAGATAGATAGATAGACAGACAGACAGACAGAGTGAGTCAGGGAGATAGCTTAGTAGGTAAAGGTAATTGCTACCAAGTCACTCAATCCCCAGAACAGACATGATGGAAGGAGAGAACCAACTTCCTAAGGTGTCTTTGGATCTCCACATACATGCCATTGCACAGGATACAAAAAGTAAACAAATGTTTAAGATGGGGGATATCAGGCTAGTGAGATGGCTCAGCGGTTAAGAGCACTGACTGTTCTTCCGGAGGTCATGAGTTCAAATCCCAGCAACCACATGGTGGCTCACAATCATCCGTAATGAGATCTGATGCCCTCTTATGGGGTGTCTAATGACAGCTATAGTGTACTTACACCTAATAAATATATAAAAACCTTTGGGCCAGAGCAAGCAAGGCCAGCGAGTGGGAGAAGACAAGAGGGAAAAAAAAAAAAGATAGGAGAAATCAAAAGCTAACAAAAATAAAAAAATATTAAATGCTTTTCTCCACTAAGAATTCTGGGCATGGCAATGCATGCTTTAATCCCAGGACTCAAAAGGCAAAGGCAGGCAGATCTCTGTAAGTTCAAGGCCCACCTAGTATAGATAATGAATTCCAGGGCAACGAGGACTACACAGAAAGACCCTGTCTCAAAGAACATCAGCTGGGGAGGGGAATAAGGGTGTGCACTCTTTTAAGCTCAGCACTCACGAGGAGGCAGAAGCAGGTGGATCTCTATGAGTTTGAGGCCAGCCTGGTCTACAAAGCGAGTCCAGGACAGTTAGGGCTCTGTTATAGAGAGAAACTCTTGTCTTGAAAAACAAAAACCAAAACAAAACAAAAATCAACAAAAGAGGAGATCAAAGGAATTGTATCTCCTCAGGTTTTCAAGTATTTCCAATTCAAGTCTCCTATTCAAGTATTTAAGACCCCGATTATGAGCCATGCCTGCACCTCAGACTCTCTAAAAAGCCTAACCATCTGCAGTATTCACTGGCAAAACACCAAAAACTATTACAATTCTAACGACTTTTTAAAATTTCACACGCAAGGACTAAAGAAACAGCTTGACACTTAAGAGCAAATACTGACTGCTTATGCAGAAGACAAGGGTTTGATTTCCCAACAGCTATCTGGTTGCTCACAAGCACCCCTAAGTGCAATAATAGGGGTGCCTCTTCTGATCCCCATAGGCACAATCAGTCAACAATACACTAGTTAATTAATTTTGTGTGCTATGTATATACATATGCATATTTGCACGTACGTGACCTAAATGTATACACGTTTATGTGGGCAGTCCCAATGTTATCAGGAGTCTCCCTCAATTGCTTTCAACCTTATTCACCAAGGCAGGGTCTTTCAGAACCTAGAGTTTGCAGATAAGGCTAGTCTAGCTAAGCAGCTAGCTTTGGAGATTCTATTTTTATTTTCCAAACACTTTCGCAGACCATAACACCTATTCAAAGTTTTCATGAGCACTTTACTTGCTAAACCATCTACACAAGCCAAAACCAAGGACTTTTGCTTTGGTCATCCTTGATAATACCGACCAGACAGACTCTCTTCTTCCAGATCCTCAAAACATCCACAGGTTAAGTTACCTCTCCCTTCTGACCACTCCTGCTCCCTGTCCTGACTGAATTGTTCCACAAGCTTATTCTTAGTTCTCCAGCTACAACTACTTGGTAAGTGTCTCAGTTAGTGTTTTATTGCTGTAAAAAGACAACATGACAAAAGCAGCTTTTATAAAGGAAAACATTTTAACTGAGGCTGGCTTATAGTTTCAGAGGTTTTAGTCCATTATCACAATGGTGAGAAGGATGGTAGCATGCAGGCAGACATGGTGCTGGAGAAGTTCTAAGTTCAACATCTTGACCTGCAGGCAGCAGCAGGACACTGTATCCCACCCTGGGCTGAGCTTGAGCAGAGAGACCTCAAAGCCCATCCCCACAATGACACACTTCCTCCAACAAGGCCACACTTGCTCCAAAAGGCCACACCTTCTAATAATGGCACTCCATGTGGGCCAAGAATTTAAAAACACATGAGTCTATGAGGGCCATACCTATTAAAACTACCACAGTAAGTACTCTCCAACTAGTCCCTGCCTACAGCTAAACCGGTCCAAACTGGAACACGTATCTTAAAACAGCCTTCTGCAACAGCCTCTTTCCTCTTTGTTTCTTTAAACAAAACAAAGCCTGACCTGTGGAAAGAGAGGGGGGAGAGAATGGAGGGGGAAGGAGAGGGGAGGGCGAGGGGACAGAGTGGGAGCAGGAAGGCAAGAGACCAAGAGAGCAAGAGCATAAGTCAGAGTCTTCAAACATAAACAGATGCAGCATCTCATTTCAACAGTCATGCTGGGTCTTTCTTCATATCATACATACAGTCCCATCAGGCAGTCTAGCTCACAGCATTCCCCACAACGCACCTCTGCCTTTGATGACTGTTTGAGCCTTGTCTCTAACCATAGACTAAGCTGTCTACAATTCCCAGAAAATAGGAGAAGTTTAAAAAGTGTGACTAGAATGAAGCAAAGAACTGGGCTGTTTTCCACATACGAATACACAGTCATAAAACTCCATAAATAAAATAGAGGAAAAAACAAGGTGATCTGATACTTACATCTAACTTGAGTAACTTTTCAATAACAAGCTCCAGAATTTCACGCCTCAGAGTTGGGAAATACAAGCTTATTCTTAATAAGTTATGAACATAGCATTCCTAAGCATGGGACATAAAAAGATGAACAATTCAGCACAATGCTTCAGGACATAAGCAAAACATCAATTACAAAACTTTTATTTAATAGAAAAGTTTCTAAACTGCACTGCTCAAATCTATACATGCTAAGTATAATGAATCTAATGCCCAGTCTCGTTTCTACTTAGTAACACACTACTAACTTCTGGCAACTTCCTTTCTAGTTCCCTCCTCTGTGGTGCTGAGGAACAAACAGGACCTCACGCACACTAAGCAAGCACTCTGCCTGAGCTCCACCTGCAGCATCCTTGGTAATTCCTATGTGTGTAAGCACAACACAAAAGTTATTTCTGAGCTGGATTCTGACCATGACCTGCACATAGCAATAACACTAAGACTTCCAAGGAATTAGACACTAGGTGTGGTAGCTCACACCTATAACCCCAGCACTTAGGAGGTCTTGAGGCCAGACTGGGCTACAAATTAAGACTCTGATTCAAAAAAATATAGTAACAAAAAGAAAACAATATAAGGAATGTTCTCAGTCATTTCTTGATTTTTTGGGATAGGATCTCACACTATAGCTCAGGATAGCCCTCAAACTTGCAGGATTACAGATAGGCCTATACCACAACACTCAGTGAAATAATCTTGAGTTTAAAAATCGAGAAAGGTATTTTTAAGATATTGATATTAGGGGCTGGCTCAAAGATTAAGAGCACTTGCTGCTCTTCCAGAGGATCCAGGTTCAATTCTCAGCAACCACATGGCAGCTCACAACTGTGTGTAACTCCAGTTCCAGGGGATCTGACATCATACACAGACAAGCAGGCAGAACACCAATGTACATAAAATAAAAATAAATCATTAAAAATTTTTTTAAAAAAATTCAGAGTACTAATTAACAATAATAATACTATCTAAAATAAAGTCACAAAACAATCTTTCCAGGAGCTGAAGAGATGGCTCAGCAGTTAAGAGCACTGATCGTTCTTCCAGAGGTCCTGAGTACAATTCTCAGCAACCACATGATAGTTCACAATCATCTGTAATGGGATCCAATGCCCTCTTCTGATATGTCTGAAGACAGTAACAGTGTACTCACATACATAAAATAAGTGCATTTTAAAAAAATATTATTTAAGCCACACAGTGGTGGCACACACCTTTAATCCCAGCACTTGGGAGGCAGAGGCAGGTGGATTTCTGAGTTCAAGGCCAGCCTGGTCTACAGAGTGAGTTCCAGGACAGCCAGGGGTATACAGAGAAACCCTGTCTCAAAAAAAAATTATTAAAAAAAAAAAAAGCAATCTTTCCATGAAAGATTTCTTACCAGTGTTCTCTCTGATTTCCTCACAAATGGGAATTTGTCTACCAATATTGGCATTAGAAACCATGGTGTCCTATTTAAAAAAAAAAAAAAAATGCAATCCGTGTTAACTGTACTTTCTAAGATGCTGGTATTTGCATATAAGCAATAAGGACATAAGAGGCAAAAGAGACAGCCTACCTACCTCAAGCAAGTAAACCGAAGTCAAGGAAATCTCAGAGAAAAACCCTAAACAACTTACATGAGGATATTTTTTATTAACTTTGTTATGACAGCAAGTCAAAAGAAAAGCTTTTCTTCAACAAAAGCTTAACAGACTCCAGTTTAAATGTTAAGACATGTATCAGTACATAAGTATAGTAAAGAGGCAAAGTATCATTAACCTGGACAGGGTCTCATGTATACCGGGCTAGCATCAAACTGTGCGTAGCCAAAATGACCCTGGGTGCCTGACCCTCCTGTCCCTACCTGCCCAACTGCTGAGACTCCATATGCAATACACCATCCGCCAGCCCCCACACCCAACTTCTCATGTGTAGTTAATAAAAGTTACCACTGCCAGGTAAACCCACAAACCCAGCAAGCTTTTTATAACCGCATTCCATTCATACGGCACAGTGCAAGTGTGCATACAGGATCTCAGTAAAAGGATTTAGAGACCACATCCATTGAAGTTAAAAGTAAAATCCCAACTTCTACACAAAACAGAGGTAAATTAAATATAATTAAATTAATTAAATATAAACTAGACAGCTCAACAGGCATAAGATGATTTGGAGGGAAGGACATTTGCATCTTGAGTTTGAGCCCTAGCTACAAGGTGGCAGAAAGGAACCTAGGCTGTCAGATGTCTACGACAGCTGATAGATGTCTTATGATACACTGAACACCCGTGTCGACACACAAATTAAATTGTTAAATAAATTAAAATAACAAACATAATAAACAGAAAACAGAAACACCATTTTCAACATGTGCTATCAACACAGTTGAGTGTGCATACATCACAGGCAAGTGACCCACCAGAATTAACCCAACCTGTTAAACCAAGCACCATGATTCAAAGTCAACAAAAGAATACTCACGATGGGACATATCTTGTTATTATTTGCAAGGCTCTGTGACATGTGTCAAAATTTGCAGGAAGATCTACAAAGAAAAATTTGAGTATAAACATCAAAACTAAAAACTGCAAAATTGTGGGGATGTAGAATCCTGGGTATTTGGCCACGCCCCCAGAGCCCAGAGACCTGCCACGAGGTCTCCAAATCCCAAGTAGAGGGTGGGTGAACAAGTCTCTGCCTCAAGATTTCCCTGGCCCCCCCCCTCCCCCCCCCCCCCCCAATATAAGCAAACCCCTTCCGACACTTTTTGGGAAAGTACGCCAGACACATCGCCATGTCAATAAATGTCTTCAGCTCTACACACCTCTTGGAATCCTGGACTCATTGTATAAGGTCAAAACCTGCACGGCGGGGCGGGAGTGGCCCCAGGGACCGCTCCCCGACCTGCGTCCCCGCTCGCCCCACGCAGCTGCCCACGACCTCTGGGAGCGAGTAGTACCCGACACAAAATCATGTTCCTAAAGCTAAAAAAACTTTCTAACGAAAACTCAGCAACTGACCAGAGAAGTAAGAACTGCATGGTGTCTCTTCAATTAACAGTGAAGATTAAAAGGAATAATTATGTCACACCTGCATAGATTCTTCTAGAAGAGCTAGTTTTTAGCTAAGCATGGCAACACATGCATATAATGAAACACTCCAGAGGCCAAAGCAGGATTGCTATTAGTTGGAGGCCAGGCTGGGTCTACAGAGATACTACTTAAAAAATAAAATAAAATAAAACAAAACGTAGGGTGGGAGAGGGGGAGTCAGCTGGTAGAGTGCTTGCCTGGCATTCACAAAGCACTGACTTCAATCTACACAAAATAGACATGGCAGTATATACTGTAACCCAGTATTCAGGAGGTAGGGAAAGAAGATCATAAGTTCAAGTCCTCTTCAGGTACATAAGATCAAGACCAGTTTTGGGATACATAAGGCCTTGACTCCAACGCAGGTTGGGGAGTACTATTTATTCTAGTAATACACTTAGGGTGGGCGGCTGTACAATAGGAATGTGTCAGAGAGTCTATCAAGCTGGGTGTGGTGGTACACGTCTTTAACCCCAGCACTCAAAGGCAGAATCAGATGGATCTCTGTGAATGTGAGGCCAACCTGGTCCACATATGAATTTCAAGTCGGCCACAGCTACATAGTGAGACCCTTCCTGTCTCAAAACAAACCAGAAAGAATCTATCAAAGGGTATCATTTGTTATTGTCCCCCCCAAGAGAGTAAGTGGTGAGACTTTTATCATGTAGGACCCATGTTCTAAGATCATACTTACTGTCATCTTCGTCATCAGAATCAGAAACATCTATGCCACCTTCCTTGACAATCACTCGGGCTTTGGAGAAAAATGAAAATTTGTTATTCTATTCTGAGCATAAACAACGAATAGGTATTTTTAAAGGTAAGAGATAATAAAGATCACTTAGCAGTTAAGAGAGCTAGCTCTTCCAGAAAACCAGATCCCCAGCACACACATGGTAGCTCACAAATGCCTGTAACTCTAGTTCCAAGAAATCTGACACTTTCCTGTAGCCTCTCTATATACAGAGCACACATACACACATGTAGGAAACACACACACCAAAAATGAAATTAAATGAGTTTGACGACAGTCAAACGCATCCCGCCTATGATGCTTTGTGTCATCACAGGGCTCTGCAAGGTAGCAGCCATCAGAAGCACCACCATGACCTTAGGCCATAGCTGTGAACCTAACAAACTACTGTCTTTAGAATAAGGAAAGTAAGGGCAGAGAAAACAAGTGAGAGGTAGGGGAGAGGAGGGAGAAAATTCATCTTTACAAGCAAAACCCATCTACTTACGAGGTACAAAATGAGAAGCAATCATGCTGAGACATGGTCTAAGGAAGACAGTCTGTGCTGACACAAGATTACCAAGAAAAGCCAAATACTCCTCCACCACTGTCTGACTTCTATTCAACCAGGGCAATCTCTAGAGATGAAAGAGGAAGATGATAGAAAGGTGTATACAGTTTTCAAAGCACTAAAGTATCTGCTAGTCGGTGAAATAAAGTGAACTTACCAATATGATGTTTATAAGTTGCTCAAAGTCTTTTGTCAAATACATGACAGAGGAACGAAATTCCAGTAGCCAGTTAATGATCTGGTCATCCTTAAGTAAAAACAAAGAAAAATCACAAGCTGTCTAGTGTCACAGAAAAGTAATGGATCTACTTTGTACCAATCCTCTATCAATAACACGATAAAGTCGGGAAAGCAGATATGCTCCACTAAGATGTGGCAGAGAAGCTGGCCATAGAGTGTGCACTCCTGTGGTCTCAGCCCACGGGAAACAGAGGTTCCAAGTCCAAGGCCTGAGCTACACACTGAGTCCAGACCAACTTAGATCACATACAAATAAAAACTAACAAAAGTGTGACAAGGGTTAAGTGTAGGACAGTTGACAGGGCTCTTGCCTACCATGTTGGAGACCCTGGATTTGCTGTCCAGCACTCCTGCACAAGCTTGTAACCCGAGTCTGAACACCAAAAGCCATGTAAATATGAGAAGAAGCACGTCTAGGAACTGGAAAGATGGCTCAGCAGTCAAAAGCACTAGCTACTGTTCCAGAGGACACAGGATCAATTCCTAGCACCTACATAGTGGTTCACAGCCATCTGTAACTCTAGTACCAGAGGATTCAACACTTCCCCTAGCTTCTTTAGGCACTAGGCATGTACACTGTGCCCAGATACACACAAAAGGTAAAATATTTACACATAAGAAATAATCATCTTTAAAATCTCTGAGCCTACAAGTGGGCCTTTGACTTCTACCTGTGGCCACACAAAAATATTTAAAAATTTTAAGCTTTTTAATTAAAAAATCAATCAGCTTCAAGGCACAATGGCACCTGCCTGTAACTCCAACATTCAGAAATAGTGGGAATGGAATCCCAAGTTTGAGAAGAGCCTACAATGCATATATAAGACTATCTTCAAAACCCCAAACAGAACAGAGCACAACGTAAACTGGGGTTGTGGCTCTGACAGACCCTTGCCTAGCATGCTCACATCCTAGCTTTCAATCCCCACCACTGAAAAAATAGGAACTACAAACAGAGTCAAGGGACTGCTGCCTCAGTGAGCCCTGATAAGAAACAGAGTGCACACAGCACTCTGATGAAGGCAGCCACAACTGCTATCATTTTTACTGTGTCAAGAATCTGCTGAGACGGGCAAGGCTATAGATCAGCACAAGAGTGCTGGGTTAGCAGTACTCAAGGCTTGGCTTAACCCCAGAACAACAAAAATCTCAAAACTACTATACAATACAGAAAACTGGGGCCGAAGCTGGAGAACTCATGTTGTTCTTGCAGAGAACCTAAGTTCAACTTCCAGTTTTCACAGACACACAAATATATATATACACACATACATACATATATATTTTGGAGGGGAGGAAGCTGGTGAGATGTTCAATAGGTAAAAGACCTTGCATGATCCCCATGTCCCACAGTAGGAGAAGAGAACAGACTCCTGAAAGCTGTCTTCTGATCTCTTCACATGTTATGGTATATACAAGCCTCCCCGCCTCTCTCCCTCCCCATCCCAAATATATAATTTTTTGTTAATTTGGTTATTCTCTTTTGTTTTTGGAGATTGAGTCTCCATATATAGCCGTGGCTGTCCAAGAACTCCCTAGGTAGACCAGGCTGGTCTCAAACTCATATAGATCTGCCTGTACCTGCCTTTGCCTCCCAAGTCCTGGGACTAAAGGTGTGAACTACCATGCCCAGCTAAATGTACTTTTTTAAGTTAAAATAAAACAAAATAAAATAAAATAAAATAGGATGTGCTGAGGGCTTGATCCGAGCTCTGAGATGTAGTCTCAGCACTGAGTAAGAGTGAGGAGAATCTACTCATAGAAACCTCAGTACAACACAAAGACACTGGCCCTTTGGACCCAAGACAGGAAAGGATCAGGAAAAGCCTTAATATTTCAGGAGCTTTTTAAAGGGTAATACATGTGTGGAAAACATTTCTAACAAAGAGAAAGCACATTTTCAGAACACAGAATAACTCTGTTCGGCTCCAGCACATAGTGAACTAGTCAACAAGTAACTCCGGTGAGCAAAGAAGTGCCACACAGAGCACAGAGGCCATGCATGCCAGGAATGGGAAGATCTGCTGAGGTCTGGGAAACAGACACAATGGAGGAAAGACCATATGCTTAAGAGAACCAGAGACAGCTCACAGCAGCTGACATCTCACTAGGATCTGAGATAAAGCAGTTTGTAGATTATAATAGCAGCAATAAACAGATACAACATGAACTGTGACCCAGGCAGTGTTCTAAGATTTTATCATATGTTAACTCATGTACTCCTTACAAGTATTCACAAAGCAAGTACTACTGTAAGACTCTAGTGAGTCCTAGTTTACTGGGGACCCCCTGAGTGAACAACACAGAGCTGGGGATCGGAGCCAGGGATCGTTGCAAAAGCAAAAGGAATTTTTATTATTCCTGTATCCAAAAAGAGAGGCAACGACTCCGGGCAGCTCGTTCAGTGGACCTTTCCAGGGATAGCATAGAGAAACAGCAGCTAGGCACAATATGACTGGCAGACAGTGTGACTTTTAAACTGATTGGTCTTTAGGGAATGAGGTGGCAGGGACCTCCCTTGTCTTCAGGTGGCCAACTTCGGTCCTGTGGGATGTGTCCATGTGCTATGGTCCTCCCCACTCGGTCTCCCACCTTGTTGTCTGAGGAAGGTTAATTAGCCTTTTCACTCCTGAGTTGACCCCTTCACTACTGATCTCCGTTTTACACAAGGAAACTAAAGTGCAAGCGCAAGAACTCACCCTAGGAAGGAAGCAATGTTGTCAGAGCCAGTGTTCAAATAAAGTGTTAAGGAAGACCTCAGCCACAAAACAAGACATTCAAAGACATACAGGTGAACAGTGGCAAATTTATAACATGAAGTATCTCTTAAGACTAATCGCAGAAAAAAGTGTCATCAGCTGTATTAAACATTAATCTTCATTCTTCTACAGATAGGAAGGTTTCAAGTAGGAGAATGACATGCCTAGACATGTCCCATGAGAAATGAGTCAGGCGTCACTGTTCAGAACACACCTACAGGGAAGAATATGGAGCATGGCAGGGTCTAAAGAATAAAGTTAGTAAAAGAACTAAGACTTGAGAGCACCAACAAAGCCAAATATGAAAAGTTTTTTTGTTTTTTGCCCCAACAAAGATGAACAATTGCTATAGGAGATAAAGTCCAGAAAGACTACAATACTCCTAACTCAAGAACTCGTTTTAATCAATAAACCAGTTTAGCGTACAGAAGGCTACCAAGAAGAGGATTTGGGGAGAGACGAGTCTGACTCGCCATATGGAGCACATTAACAATCCTGGTAGAGGCGATGTCTTGGGTCCACAGGAGCTACAGCACAGGAGCTACAGCACATTGAGCTACAGCACAGGAGCTACAGCACATGGAGCTACAGCACAGGAGCTACAGCACAGGAGCTACAGCACAGGAGCTACAGCACAGGAGCTACAGCACAGGAGCTACAGCACAGGAGCTACAGCACAGGAGCTACAGCACATGCATTCAGGGGTTATCAAGTTAGAGGTAGATTTCAAAGCCTACACAACTACTGAGTCAAATAAAAGAATCAAGTTAAAAAAAATTCAGAGCTTTAAAAAATGTTTTTAAAAATTCAGGGCTGGAATGGCAGTTCAGTGGTCAAGAGCACTTGTTGTCCTTCCAGAGGGCCTGGATTCAGTTCCCAACACCCACGTAGCTGCTCACATTTGGCGTCCATGGGCACCAGGTATGCACACAAATAGTGAGCATACATACATACATACATACATACATACATACAGGCAAAACACTCATACACAGAAAAGAAAACACACTCAATACCAAAGAACCTACTAAAAGAAAATGTATACAATAAAGAACCTATGGATAAAGTAAATGGATAATAAGAAGACAGAAAGATCACCAGAAAATGAAGCATTTGCAAGTGGATAAGCAACAGTGTCAACTGCTCAGTCGGTGTAAGGCTAGCAAATGCTCACTGAAATGAGCATGTGAGGGGTGGGTGGAGAAGGCCTGGTGTGGTAGCACACACCTTTAATCTCAGAACTCACTATGCAAAGGCAGAAGGATCTCTCTCACTTGGGCTGGCCTGGTCTACATAGTGAGCTCCAGAACAGCCAAGACTATGTACAGACATGTCTCTCAAGAAAGAAGAAAAATTACTAGGGGTAAAAATATAATCACTGGTAACTTTTGTCAAGTAATTAGAGAAGTAATACACTAACTTAAATGTAAGAAAGTCAGGAGGAATGGGGGTGTGCAGACTGTGAACCGGACCAAAGTCATAGCTAATCATGAGAAAGTCCTTACTTCAGGTTGGTGGCAGCTCTAAGACATCTTGGATATTAACTCATTCAGTCTTCTTGGTTCTCCCCCATTCTTTTTTTTTTTTTAAGATGTATTTTTATTTTATTTTATTTTATTTTATTTTATTTTTTTATTTTATGGGTATGAGTGTTCTGCCAGGATGTATGTCTACGCACCATGTACATGCAGGAGAGACCAGAAAAAGGTTTTATATCCCTTGAAAAAAGTTACAGAGAGTTGTTAGCTGCCATGTGGGTGCTAGGAACAGAACCTGGGTTTTCTGAAGAACATCAAATGCTTGTAACCACGGCTACTGTCTCTGTAGCCCACCCCCTTTAGGTCACCATATGGGCGGAATGGGCAGGCAAAGCCTAGTCATCCAACCACTAGATGCCAGTTCTTCCTCTACTTCTGACAACCGAGGGTGGGTCGAGCCATTGTCAAGTGACCATCAGACAGTAAAACTGCTCTTGGCTGATAACCACTGAGTTAAATAAGACAGGCTCATACAAAGCAAGTTCTCGAGGACAAACTAGGACCACTGGTATGGATATGACAGCCTGGAGTCAACTCTAGAGACCCACATGGTAGCAGGGCATAGTCAACTCCCAAAAGGTGTCCTGGCCTTCACCCTTGCTATCGCATGCATGGGTGTGCACACATGTGCAAAAGTAATTAAAAGTGTTAAATACAGTAAAAATGCTTTTTAAAATTACCGTTATATATTGCCGGGTGGTGGTGGCACACGCCTTTAATCCCAGCACTTGGGAGGCAGAGGCAGACGGATTTCTGAATTCGAGGCCAGCCTGGTCTACAGAGTGAGTTCCAGGACAGCCAGGGCTACACAGAGAATCCCTGTCTTGAAAAACCGAAAAAAAAAAAAATTACCTTTATATCAGGATCAGACAGCTGGTTCTTCAGCAACTCTAAGTCATTTGTTTCACCCTAAACAAAGAAAAGAGAAAATTAAAGTACAATTACTATGGTTTCCTTTAAATATCAATAGAATTATTATTATGCCTCGGTATCTCATGGAATTACAAAAGGAACCATGAAACTTCCACACATCCCTCACAATAATAAAGTCAGGACTATAATCCTTTTAAGAATTCCTGTTTAAGGCAGGCCTGGTTGTCTCACATGCCCAAAATCCTAGCTATTCAGAAAGCAAGTCCAAGGCCACCCATCTACACAACCCTATCTCAAATATAAAAAGTAAAAAAGGCCTGCAGCTACAGCTTAGTGGTTCAGGGCTTACCCTAGGTTCAATCCTAGCAAAGAAAAAGAACCAAAGCACCAAGGAACTTGTGTTAGTAGAATCAGAGGTCTAAGACAAGGGAGGGTAAACAGCCACTCCTTCAGCTATAGAGGTGTGTGGACAATACTACGGCAGATCCTAATGAGAATTCTGAAGTATGACTAAAAAGCACTGCAATGATATATAGCACCAAGAATTCAGATAGCATCTATTTAAATGCACTGCTATAGATGGGAATTATAAGACATAATCATCTATACTTCATCTTTAGTGTTGAGATTTAGAAGAACCACTCAACCAACACAAAACCAAAGATCCCTAACTTACTCTTCTACAGTAAAGCTTAGGTAGCTCCTTAAGAGATAAAATGGTGCCAGGCAGTGGTGTGTACGCCTTTAATCCCAGTACTGGGGGGGGGGG